CTGTAAAACAGCAATTATGCTGAGTCAGGCTTGATTTTTAGTGATCTTTTCCTGTTGAATCAATAAATCAAATCAAATCATCTCAATTTTTTTGCTAAAAGAATTGACAAAATCCTACACACTGTGCCTTTAAACAATTTCAGACCATCTGAAAGCAGAAGAAAGACGGTGTGTTACAACCCCACCGTCACAGACGACCTACTTTCTGTACGATTGTTGTGGCGAGTTCCTCTATGAGCTCCTCTTTGTGGTCCTGCAGGTATCGAGCCTCATTCTGCTTCTCCTGAACACACACAGATACACACACAAGTTTGTTTTTATATCCCCGTGGGAAACTTCCATTCATTTTCTGGTAATTTTATATCCTAACCCTGACAATCTACCGTAAAATTTACCTCACAGGTACCTACCTGACCCTAAAGCTAACCTAAAAACAATTCACACCTTGGTCATAAACCTAACCCCCCGCCCTCCTGAAATTAGTATCCGCACCCATGGGGACCGGGCATTGGTCCCCATGATGCATATTCAGACCCCACGAGGCTGCCGTTTTCTGAGAAATGGTTCCCTATATGTAGCAAAGACACACACACACACATGATCATAGGCCTGGACAATATGGCTAAAATTTATATCATAATATAACTCGATACGATTTCGATATCGATAAAGAAAATAAAACCGTAAAAAAACTACCAAGAACACCAATATTAACTGCATCTACACACCTGATGTAATTTAAGATCTCTTTAATTATGACTTGTCAGAACAAAAAGTGWGAAATCTCAAATTTATTTTACGACTAGTCATAATTTAATTGTTACTGAGTAATTTCTTGCAGATATCTTGAATTAGAGTCTGAATACAACTTAATGCTAAATCAGACATCATTTATACTAACACTAGTCAGAATGTAATCAGAGATATCTCAAATAGGTATTTTTTTGTCTCGTTATAAACGAATTTCAGATATCTGGAATATAAATGAAGGTGATTATATGTCACAATGGCCTGCCATAAACATCTGTGTTTGCAGCATCAGTTTCACCTGTTGATGGGGTGGTGGTGATGTTTTAGGAAGAGGGCTTTAACATTTATGGTGCTTCATTTTCATACACTCAATGTTTTATAGAGTGGAACTTTATCAGACGGTGGAACAGATTTGAAGTGTTCCCGCTGCGACTGAAACCTCCAGACCACTGAATTACAGTAGTCTTTCCTTTTTTAAACTATTTTTTTCTGCTTCCTTTTCAGCTGCGGACGCTTGTTCACTCACAGCTGTCGAGCTCATTTTAATGCAGATATCCTCTGTGTTGTAGTTAGCATAGTTAGCATAGCATAAACAGATTGGTAGCGCTGAGCACTGCCAGTGAGCCTTCGCTGTACATAATCATGCATGTACGGATGGATGAAATTTCTAAAAAAGTAATTTCCCTGTTMTTTAAAMGTTTTTTTWATCGTGACACATATCAATGAATTATTTTCCTGCACTGCGTGAGCAATGTCTCTGTTTTAAAATCAGTGAGAGGAAGAGATGCTAAGCTCACCAAACTGTCTCGAAACACCTCTGCCTTTGCGATGGCCTCTTCTATAGCTTCCTCAGCAACTCGCAGGGCGACTGTGAGGGTCTCTGCCATACTGTGTCCTGTTAACACACACACACACACACACACATACAACATGTACACTTCATATAAGATACACACATAATGAAAGATCTACAACCTAAATATGAAAGATAATCCTGCATTGATGGCTGTTTGCAACAACACTGAGTGGCAACAATGCAAATAATAAGACTTTTTAGACAAATAGTCAGAATATCTTTCTATAAGTCTTTATATTGTTGTCATATTTGAAATACAGAATTATTTACGTGGAATTCAATAGATATTTACAAACACATATTTCTGCTGGAGTAACAGCAAAACACCAAACTGATGCCAAACTTTTTGAGACTGGAGTTGTTCTAMGGACTRGTTCAGGGGTCTGCAACCTTTACGATCAAAAGAGCCATTTCTTCTCCTTGTCTCACTAATAAAATGTGTTCAGAGCCGCAAAATAAGCTACAACTGTGATTATCAACAGGTGGTCCGCGGGCCTTTTCAAGGTCTCTTCGAGAACTTTTATGGTCAGTGGAGGTGACATAATAAAAC